AAAACATCATCGTTTTCTCAAAATCACATAAAACCATATTATAACATCGACTGAGATAAAAAATAAAATGAAATATTAAAATCACGATGTATCTCGCTGCATTGCGCGAATATGCTTTTAGTAATAAATAAAAATAAATTAAAGAAATTACATAAAAAATGAGAACTTTTAAATAGTTGATTTGATATTAACATTGATATTTTTTTTCAAAATTTTATGATATATTCAAATTTATATTTTATTTAAAAATAAAATTATTATTGCTTTCTTAAAAACACATGAAATCGTATCATAACATCGACAGAGATAAATAATAAAATAGAACATTAAAATTGAGATGTGTCTCGCTGCATTGCACGAGTACTCTTCTAGCATACATTAATAAACAATACTTTATACATAAAAAAATGTTTTTAATTAATGTAAGCATGTAGTTCTCTTGGGATTTTTGTTGAAAAAAGTCAATTTGAGTTGTCAACAAATTGCACGACACAAGAGTCGTTTATAAGTGAAAATTCATTTTGAATTTAAATTTTAAATCTAGACTGATCTTTAAAAAAACCCTGAAAATCGGCGCAGTCAAGATCTGGTCAAAATCCTAAAAACTCGACTCGAAATCCAACATATAACACAATTGGAATCAAGAGTTTATTAGAATAAATACCGGATGTTTAATATCTAAATATTGTTTAATATTAATTACTTAAAAAAGGTTAAAAACAAAGAAATTTAAAAAAAACATTCGATACAAAATGGTACAAAAATGGAAAACGTCAAAAAAATTAATTAATTAATTATATCATATTTTAAATAAATTATATATATTTTATAATTAATTTTTAAAAATCCAAAAAAACCAAGTGAAGTTTCCACATCTTGATTGAATTTTCCGTAACCAAAATACTTTTCTTCCCACCGACGATCCGGAGCCAGCAATTTTGTGGCCACAATTTGGACCTTTTACTACTTCGGTTCCACCGTCTCTCTCGAAGTTCATCCGTTAAACCCTTCCACTGCATTTCTCACCTGGTTACAAATCTCTGTGTTGTTGTCAATCCAATCAGATGGCGGATGGAGATAATCAGTCACAGTATGTGAAGTTGAACAAAAATCAAGCGCCTATCGACATCAACCCTGGAGAGCTTAATCAACCAATTGCAGTTCCTCAGGTTTCATTTCTGTTCCTTCTTTCTACGCAATTTCGGTTGATGCATCTATTTAGGTGTTCTTAAGCTTTCATTAAATCGTTATCATGATTTTTGAGTTTAGGGGATGACCAGCGAAATCGACATTGGTTGATGTAGACATTTACTTACATGTTAAGAAAACCCCTTTTGATTCGTTGTGCTGACCAAATTCAAGCAAGATGTGGACTGCATTGGAGTTATGGATATTCCAGTTGATATCTATTCTTAATTGGATCAAAATCAGCCCTAAATCCTACTTATCTGCTTCTGTTTGAGTTGGGTAATTCGTGTGTTCTACAAGTATCTAGTAGTATTCTATTAAGATCTGGGAAATGTCTAGCCCCAATTCGGCATATACAAGAGATCCATTCACCATATTAGTGATTCACAAGATGAAACAATTTCCTTCTGTTGATAACTTGATATTACTTCGTGATCGATAGAATTCATTTGACATTGCTCAACCTCTAGTTCTTGATTAATCTTGATCTATAATCTCATTGTTTCGATGGGAAGAAAGTGTAATTTGAGGGTTCTCATTTTGCTGATAACATTTTTCATCTTTTTGACTTTGATTTACAGTTAAATGTTCGCAAGTGCAATGAATGTAGGCAGCCTTTACCCGAGAGCTTTGAGCCTCCCGGCGTTGAACCTTGGTCAACTGGGATATTCAGTTGCACTGAAGATACCGAAAGCTGTAAGTCGTTCTTGAGCTATCAATGCCTTAAGACCAAAAATATGATTCAAGTTCCTTCATTTAGTTAATGTTTTGAGTTAATACAAAGCTAGCTCATCCCAAGATTGCCCATTTTATGATTTGTGTAGGCTGGACAGGACTCTTTTGTCCCTGTGTTTTATTCGGGCGCAATTATGAGAAGCTGAGAGACGACATACCTTGGACCACACCATGTATTTGTCATGCAATTTTCATTGAGGGGGGTATGGCACTTGCTGCAGGAATCGCAGTAGTTCATGGTATCGACCCTGAGACAACATTTCTCTTTTGGGAGGGATTGCTTTTCAGTTGGTGGATGTGTGGTATATACACTGGCTTTGTTAGACAAACTTTACAGAAGAAATACCATCTTAAGGTGCTCCAAACTCCCTCCCTCTCTCATTGGCTACGTTAGGGGCTGTTTGGTTGGTTTTCCGTTAAGTGCTATATGGATAAAGCTGTCTATGTGTATTAATCTGTCTGTATAGATCGAGAATGTTTTTGTTTGGGAGAGTTTTTCACTAGATGGAAGGAGTGTGTTTTTAATAGGCAGGGGAAAATTTGGAAAAAACTTGGCTATCTGCATAAAGCTCCCCCTAAAAGCTTACTTAACACACCACTTTCTATATCATTAAGCCATTACCAAACAGTAATGTCTAGTCTAGCTAACCAAGTAAGTGTGGGTCATATTAAGCTGCTAACAAACTGACCCTTTGTGTTTCTAGAAAAGATCAAATGTAGTGTATAATGATGCAAGTTATGGTTTGTTGTTTGGCATATGCAGAATTCGCCTTGTGATCCCTGCTTGGTGCACTGCTGTATGCACTGGTGCGCGTTGTGCCAAGAACATAGGGAGATGAAGGGACGACTCTCTGATGATGCCGTGATGCCAATGACCGTTGTGAATGCACCTCCGGTTCAAGTGATGAAGTCTGATCATGGAGACTCTGCTTCTGCACCATCATCCTCTGCTAATGGCCATGACCACCATTTAGAGATGCAACCATTGTAATATAAGACCATAGATTTTGGGTTGGATTGAAGTTCCTAGATTGGTTTGGTGCCAATGGTAATTGTATTCCTTTTCTTACCTCAAGTTTGAAAAAATAACACAATCTGATCTAGCTTACAACTGAAGTACACCGTGAGCCAATTAAAAAAACATCGAAACCAAAAACCGCACCAACATAAATTTTGGTTAACCACCTGGTTTTGGTGTCCTGGTTAAGGTTCAGGGGATGCAAGAATTTAATGGAAATCTTATCTTTTTCATGTTCGAATTAGAGCGCTGCCACGTGGAGGTTCACCTATGATGACTCGAGGCCATTCGTGGTCGCCCGAGGATTAGTAGGTGCGTTAGTACGTGCGCATAAGTTGGTTCGAAAACCTACTGTTACACAAAAAAATAAAAAGAATAAATGATTTTGGTCCCCTTCACGATTCGAATATTCAATCTTACCGATCCGACTTTTACATATTTATATGTTAGCTGAATAGGGTTAGATTCCGGTGAGAAGAGTAAGAAGAGATCTCCGCTCTTTGATCAATGCTAACTGCAGATCAACACTAATGAGATACACCGAGATGCATCAAATCAATTCATTTCTAAAGGACAATACATGAGTGGACATGAGATTAAAAGTGATCAACGGTGGAGATCCCTTCTTGCGCTTCTCACTCATTCTCTTCCTTACACGATCATTCGGATAGCTAAATAAGGGTCCTTTTACCTAATACTTATCCGGTAAGCACTTATTGGTAAGAGTTAACACATTCACTTAACCTAGCGGATAAGGTTTTAGTCCATCAAAACATCGTTGTATGACACATTTTTATCTGTTAAGCGTTTACCGGGTAAGACTATTGGTCGTTGTTATTTCTATTTTTTTAAAGTATATAATATTTATATACGACAATTAAAACAAATAAACTCACACATCCTCCTTACATTTGATGAGGTTTGAACCCTTGACCTCTTAGGCGGCCAATTACTAACATACCGCTAGGTTAAAGGCCTTTGGTTCCTTGTTATTTTTATTACCAGGTGAGACACTCAACATTTGCATGCTCGTTAGATAAGGTAAAGTGACTCAGTAAGTACTTATTGCGTAAGCGTTTTGTAAACAACCCCTAAGTTGCCTAAGAGCATCTCCGATGCAACGTTATTATAAGGAAGAAGTATAGCTTCTTAGAAAAACTAACATTGTAGAAAGTTCTTATAAAAACCTCACATTTTTTGAGAACTTTGGTTCTTACCTTGAAGTTGGTGTGAAATAACAATTTTATTAGTTTTTATATATTTTTTAGATTTTTATATCTAATATTATGATTAATATGCATATATTTATTTATATGAGACTCGTAAAAGCCGGTTTTTATGAAAACTACTGTTACAAAGTCTTTATATATGTTTATTGATTTGGTAATTTAGAAATAATTTGAAAAAGAAAAAATATAAAAAAAAATGGGTTTTTATAATAATGTGCATGGGAGATGCTCTAAATAAATGGGTGGAAAAAATGTTATCAAGAGATGGATAAGGAACTTTCGAGATGCTTAACCGTATAAACCGCAAACAACATTGGCCAACCATACACGGCCGCGTGTGCATGGCGGTTAATATTTGAAAATTCCTGTAAAACCCCCCTGTAGCGTCTTGCCAACCATTTGCAACAGTCATTTCAAACACAATCGATCTTGTTTCTTCTTTCAATATCAATGGCGTCTCTGAAAACTAGATTGGAACACGCCATCACTCCCGCTGCACTCAGATCTTATCTCGCAGAGTTCCTCTCCACTTTCTTCTTCGTCTTTGCCGCAGCCGGTTCCGCCATGTCCTCGAGTATACATCTCTCTGTGTCTAATTAGATTTTTCTGCGTTTTTTTGCTGAAATTGTGATGGTTGATTTGTTCGTAGGGAAGATGTCGACGCCGGAAGCAGCAATAACTGATCCGTCTAGCCTGGTAGCCACGGCAATTGCAACCGCCTTTGCATTGTCAGTGGCGGTTTATGTCGCCATTAATGTTTCCGGTGGCCATGTGAATCCTGCGGTGACGTTTGCAATGGCGGTGGGAGGACACATCAGCATCCCGTTGGCCATCTTCTACTGGATTTCTCAAATGTTTGGCTCTGTCATGGCCTGTTTGGTTCTGAAAATCCTTACTGTTGGACAGGTACACACATAACTCCCCCAAAATATGAAAAAATTGTATATACACGCTTTATCATTTTCGAATTCCATTCCAATTTCCAAAATCAAAACTGTTTTGGATTCACTAATTTCTTTTGATCAAAAACCTATAGCATGTTCCGGTTCACGGGATTCCGTCAGAAATGACAGGATTTGGGGCATCGATTCTCGAAGGTGTGATGACATTTGCGTTGGTCTACACTGTTTATGCTGCCGGAGACCCAAGGCGTGGTGCCTTTGGAACCATTGGACCATTGATGATCGGGTCAATAGCCGGAGCCAACGTGTTGGCTTCAGGTCCGTTTACCGGCGGATCAATGAACCCGGCATACTCGTTTGGGTCTGCCGTTACTGGTGGAAGTTTCAGGAACCAAGCGGTTTATTGGGTCGGACCGTTGCTTGGTGGAGCCGTTGCGGGTATAGTGTATGATAATGTGGTGTTTCCTGCTCAGTCACCGGAGGATTCTATCCGCGGAATTACCGACGGTATCGGTGTTTAAGTTGTTAATCACCATCTTAACCCCTTAAGACTAAATTGTGTGTTATTTCTATTTGAATTATTTAGGATATGAATGTATTATGCGAATTAATGTTTTTTATTTTATGTTTAAACTAGCAGTTTAATTTTCATTCTGTAACAAAACAAAAAGAAAGTCTGTACATACCACCATCATCACTTTTGATGCAAACATACATCAATGACCATTTGTTAAATTACATAAAACACCCCAACAAATCGTTGACCAACGACTTGACATATTTCCTTGGTAACAAAAAAAAAATTGTACTTGTATACCAATCCCCACCACTAATTTGAAAAAACAAAAATTTAACAAAGAAAGGGGAAAAAAACTCCAAAAGAGACCAATTCTCTCAACATTCAACGATCGGCTTTTGCAGTGGTGACGGCGGAGGTTTTTCGCTGTTGCCAACCACCATGTTCTCGGGCGATTTCCTCTTTGGTTTTACTTCTTGCAACATTGATACAACGTCCCTCATTGAAGGTCGGTCAGCTGGATTTCTACTTGTACATAACAATGCCACCCTTAATAGTAGCATCATTTCCTCCCTGACCGAGCTACATGAAGCCCCTGCATTTTGATCCAATACGCCTTTGATACCTTCTTTGCTTTTCATTTTCGTCCTAACCCAATCCACGATGCTATTCCCATCTCCGAATTCAGAGTTCACTGATGTCTTCCCACTAATGATTTCCATTAACACCACTCCAAAGCTGTATATATCACTTTTTTCGTCCACTTGTAAAGTATACGCGTATTCTACACAAAACCAAAACCAAATAGATTAATACCAATTTAAACATAAATGTAAATACCAACAAATTAACAATTGAATTAAAAATTTTTTTTGAAACGGTTAACCACCGTTGGATCTTGTGGGGTCCATGATAATGAAAAAGTACACGTCTAAAAGCAAAAGGTACTTCACGCGTATTATAGTGCGCATAACAGTTGCAACCAATGGCGGCAAAATTCAGAAAATTACGAAATTAGTCCTTTATATTTAAAGGTTTTACACTTTTTTAAGAGAATGATTCCTGGAGTAACTTCAAAGTTTAGGGGTTGTATAGAAAATACAAACACACTCACCACGTCACCATGATCCAGCACAAAGAAACATGCAGAACATGTACAAGCCGATGATGCAGCAAATTGGCATTCTAATGTACGAGTTAGTAAAGCGTAAATACCTGGTGCAATGTAGCCATAGGATCCGGCGATCACCGACATTGATTCGTCGCATTGGATGAGCTTTGCGACGCCGAAGTCTGCCACCCTGGCTTCCATCTCGCCATCCAATAGGATATTGCTAGGCTTCAGATCACGGTGGACGATCACCGGGTCACAGTCGTGGTGGAGGTAGCAAATCCCCTGCGCCACACCTAGGACGATCTTGTAGCGTGTTAGCCAATCCGCCATTAAATTGTCACCTTTGTTCTTCCCATGCAGAAGATCATCTAAACTACCATTTGGCATGTACTCGTAAAGCAGCATCGTGCACTCTCTGTTGCTGCAGCAGCCGAGCAATCTTACGATATTCCGGTGCCGGACGTTACCTAATACTTCCACCTCTGCCAACACTCCTCTCCGACGTCTGATCGTCTCCTTGTGTTTTCCCCAAAGCTTTTTAACGGCTATGATCTCGCCACCTGGCATCTCTGCTTTATAGACGGTCCCAGTCGATCCCATCCCGAGGATCTTATCCGTCATTGACAAGCACTCCACCACATCATCGGCGGTGAAGTTCAACCGTTGGAAGGCGGTTAGTTTCCACGGTCCGATCTCTATTTCTTCTGCCACAAAGCGACGCTGGTAGTTTGCTCGGAAGCATCGGCTACCTGCTATGAGGATGAAGAGGCCTACACCAAATGCGGCCGCTAATATCCACACGATAGCTCCGGCGGTCTTCTTCGGTTGCTGTGGTTTTACCTCAGTTTCACTTTCGGTACCACAAGGCTTCCGGAGTACTCCACCACAGAGTTCATCGTTTCCGGTGAATGACGAAGGATGTAGGCTTGAAAATGCAGGTCCGAAGGAAGGCACAGGTCCAGTAAGCTGATTGTACGAAACGTTGAAACCTTCTAATGTACTGCAATTACCAAAAGTAGAAGGAATCGTACCAGTTAGAAAATTGTGCGAAAGATCAACTTCCGTTATCGAAGGTAGAGTTGAAATCTCCCATGGAATGATGCCTGTCAATAAATTACGTCTTAAATTCAACGAGATTAACTTCATACAGTGACCAATATCCCAAGGAATGCTATCACTCAACTCGTTCCCTTCCATTTCTATCTTGTAGAAGTTTTCACAGCCTTGAAACTTGGGGATTTTCCCTGTAAGTTTACTTGAACTCGCTGAAAAAATTTGTAAACTCGGCGCACTCCAGATATTTTCCGGCAAAACACTGCCAAATGAATTCCCTGAGATGTTTAGATACTCTAGTTTAGCGGCATTGGCTAAATCTGCTGGAATTGGTCCGGTGAGATTGTTATCGCTAATCTCCATGAACATAATATTGGACAAACTTCCGAATCCAATAGGAATTGAGCCATTGAGTCTGTTATTTTGGACGCGGAGCCTCAATAACGACGTGCAGTTCGCTAAAGAGGAGGGAAGAGCACCGGAAAATTGGTTCGAAAAGAGGATGAGTTTTACTAGATTGTTGCCGAGGCAGAGATTTGGTGGGATTGGACCAGAAAAAGAGTTCGAAGAGACGTCTAGCCTCTGTAATTTCGAATTTAACCCTAGTTTTTGTGGCAAAATTCCGGTGAGTGAATTGTTCCACAGGAACAGAAATTGGAGCGCCGGAAGCTCACCGATACCTTGAGGAACTTCTCCGGTCAAGTTGTTGTTCATTAGACTTAGCTCCAGTAGGTTCTTCAACGACGACACTTCATCTGGTATACTCCCTGAGAATTTGTTATTCGACAAGTCGAGAATCCTCACATATTGGAAATGGCCTATACTCGCCGGAATTTCACCATAGAAATTGTTTTTGAAAATTAACAATGTCTCAAGCTTCGTCAAGTTTGTTAAAGCGACAGGAAAGTTACCGGAGAGATTAGAAGATGACATGTCAAGAAAAGTTAAGTTCAACAACGAAGCGAATTGCGTCGGAACGACGCCGGAGAAAGCATTATATCCTATTTCTAAATGCTGGAGCGACGTTATAAGTCCTAATTCCGCTGGAATTTGACCACCGAGAATGTTTCCAGCAAGATATAAGAACTTCAACCTTTGGAAACCGCCATAGCTTTTTGGAATTTCACCTTCGAAGTAGCTTCCACCGAGGTTGAGGTGTTCCAGAAACGGCAAACGAACAATCTCCTGAGGCAAAGGCCCAGTGAAGCTGTTGCTGTAAGCATTGAAGAATGTAAGAAACTTCAACTTCGAAATCCCCGGCGGAAATGTCGAATTGAAAAGGTTATGGTTGACATCAAGAGTCCGAAGAAAAGTCAGGTCGAAGATGACCGTCGGGAGAGGTCCGGCGAAAGCGTTTGCACTGATATTCAAATGGTGTAGGTGAGTCAAGTACTTGATGTCTCCGGGAATCGTACCGGAGAGGTTCCGGTTAGAGATGTCCAATGAATTGATCTGAAACGTTCTCGGGTCACATTTGATACCCGACCATGAACACCAAACAGGTTCGAATCCTGGTTTTGATGAAGAAGGTGATGGATCCCAATCTTGAAACGTATTAAGTGGGTCTACCAGAGATGATCGGAGAGAAAGAAGTGAAAGGAGCTGAAGAGGGAAGGCGGTGGGAGCTGAGGAGAGAAGAAGTGGCAAATGGTGGAAGAAGATGAAGAGGAGATACAGACGGTGGTTCATGGTGGCGATAATGGTGGTGGACAAGAAGAAAGTGGTAGTAAATTTAAGGGAAAAGAGAAATGGAGGGTTTTGATTGTTGCTTTTTAGGAGTGGTTGCTGGAGGACGTTTCATGATGATTGTTGTTGGTGAGTGGATTTGAAGAAGAAGATGATGATGAAATCTTTGCTCTGCAACAACTTGTTCTACTGCTGGTAAGGTTTCTATGCAAATACCAATTTTACCTTTTTCTTTTTCCTTTTCTTTTAATTTAATTTTTTTTCCAAAAATCAAATTATTAGTTTTACTTTTGTAAAATTAACTTAAACTGGGAATTTAATTAAAGATAGTGAACCTAGGAACACAAATTTTTATTCTTTAAAAAAAATATTATTATTTAATAAAATAAAGAGATTTGTTTAAAACTTTTATGTTGGGATTTACTTTTGATGATTATTCCTGGGTATTCTTTCTCTCTTTTTCAGCTTTATCTTTGGCTGCATTTGGTAACAGTTGCAGCTGTTCCTCCCAGGATCCAAGAAAGTCCCTGTTTTTCTAATTTTCAACAACCCAAACATCCTATTTTCATATTCGTTAGCAACTGTAGTTGCAGAAAAAAGTTATGGTGGAAAACATAAGAAGGGATCTCAACCTTTGATTACATTTAATATCAAACCCACCTATGAGTTACGTTTGATACGAGGATTGATCTGATGCATCTTATCTGGATACATCTCATCATAATGTACATCCAATGGTGAAGATTCATTCTTATGTTTTTCACATTAACTTTCATTCTCACCGACAATCAACCTATAATATATATATATATATATATATATA